GCGCAGAGCAGCGGAAGAGGAGCAAGCCAGGCACGGCTTGCAGTGGCGAAGCTGCTTCATGCGGGCAGCTCGAACTTTTCGCCCTTCATCACTTTTGTAAAGTACACTGTCGGGGACCAAAACGGGAATTCACAGATGTCAGTCACGTTCTTTCGGAGGGTAGTGAGCGGTTCCGTCGAGCAACGGAGCTGTGGGGGAATGCAGCAGACGATGCTGTGAATGGTCGAAAAAACGCACCGTAGAAGAAATCGAGGTAGAGACCGGTTTGTACCAGGCCGGAGAGGATCGAGATGGGGTCGATTTCGTTGTGCGCGATGTACCTGTCGCATCGTCCCGGATTGCAGTCGCGAGTCAAAGCAGGATGCGGGGTCAGCAATGGCAGCCTAAAAGCTCTTCTGTTGGTTGTCTGCACTCACCTGTACAGCCAGTTGGGAATGTACAGCGCGCGATACGCGCCGAGCGCAAAGATGTAATGTGTCGTGATCGCCTCTGCCTCGCCGGTCCTCTGGAGCATAAACAGCTGCGGCAGGATCGCCACGGCCTCCAGGTAGATGCTAAACGTCCAGAGCACCTCGAGGAAGTCAAAGTGGTAGTGGAACAGCAGCGCCAACACGAACGCCGGGCCCATGAGGTACTCGAGCCGGATCGTGTCGATGGCCGGATCGTGCGTGGGGCGGAACTTGACCTTCATCAGATACAGCACATACACCGAGGACCCGATGAAGAACACCTTCATGAGGAAGCGGTACAGCGAGTTCTCGTGGAACAGGTCCAGGTAGCGCGTCACGAACACCACCGTGTACAGCAGCTGCGTCTTGAACGAGATTCCGCGACATGACTTGGACAGCTGGATCTTGTGCAGCAGGATAAAGATGGACGCCAGATGGGCAAAGTCGCCCGCCAGTCGGAAGATGTTCATCGTGCCGTTTCTCGACGTCTGTCCGAGGGAAGGGATGGAGTAGGTGGTGGCTGAGAAGGTTGTGTAGAGAGAGAATGTTGCTCTCGCGTCTCGAAAGGTGATGTGCTGGACTGTGCTCCTTGGGCCGGTAACAGTTTTTCCGCACGAAAACGCGACAATGCGAAAATGCACGCGGTCGATGACAGCACAGCACAGCACGCCGAGCAGATCTCCAACACATTCCAACCACGTCGACCGTCTTTCCCGCGGCATGCGACAGCAGCAGCAGCAGACCGCATTGGATCGTGCAGTCCCGATTTGGCAGCGAAATCCGTTTCAGATCGGCCAGATCTCGCTTTCTTCGTCCGAAGACTCTCTCATTCCCTCCTCCTCTCGTTCAGGCTCATCCTCACACAGCGTTGAAGGCAGTCAAGAAAGGGCACACTGATTGAATGGAGTCGGTCTGGAGATTGCTTCCTCTGTATCACAATAGCGCTGTGTCTGAGGTTCGTGCATTCAAAGCCACACCAGAGGAGCAGCCAGACCATCCCTCACCTGCTCACCCGCGCCCGTCCACCTGTGCACCGTAGTCCTCGTAGCAGCCGAGACAAACCCATCAGTACATACCAGCTTCCCCTTCTCCTCCTCCTCCCCTCCTCTCACTTTCGGCTCAAAAGTATACCCCGCGCACCGAAAGTACTCGACCACCGGTTCGTGTGCGCCCTCGAACGTCATGTCGACATGCTTGCCGCCGGTGTACATGCCCGCCGTGATGTCGCCCAGCCGAGTGGTGGCGAAGTGGACCGCTGCCTGGGATTCGACCTGCGTCAGGGTGGGGTCGCGGCGCGGACGGATGGCTACGACGTCGACCGCGCGTGCGGGCAGGGCGGTGTCCGAGAAAGCAGAGGACAGAGGCGCGGGCATGAACGCCGACTCGAGCCGGTCCGTCACCATCGCATTGAGGTACAGGAACGGCCCTTCCACCTGCACGTCGCCCTCGCCCACTTCTCTAAACGCGCGCGTGCGAGGCTCGTACCTCTGCACATCCCCCCGAAGCGTCACACTTCCATGCGTCCACCGCGTCGCATTCATCTGCGCTGCAGCCTTGAACCGCTCGATGCCCTGGTGCTTGGCGCGCATCTCGGGCGTGTCTGCATCGTGCAGGATCGCAGCATGCAGTGCGTGCGATGTGACCAGATGACTGACGAGCCATTGGTCGCCTGCTTCGGCTTCGAGGCGGTTGAGCATCAGCGGGAGCGCCGCTAGCTTTTGCTGTTTGGCTGAGAGCGAGGCGGCGAGAGAGCGCACGCTTTTCAGCATCACGTCTAGCACGCTGCTGGGAAGGTCGGTGAGTGAGCTGGCGGTGGCTACTTGGTGTTGCACCTCCTGCGTCCAGTCGGCGGGGTACATGGCCGAGTACAGCGCGTTGGCTGTGCCGCCGGGGACGATGGCTAGTCTGATTTGCAGCGGCGTTTTGCCCACTCGTGGAGATGTGTCTTCGTGAGGCTGGGAGAGGTACAGTCCATTGAGCAGCTCGTGCGTCGTCCCGTCTCCTCCGATCAACACCAGGTCCAGCACCGAGTCCTCTGCGGACGCAAATGAGGTCAAATAGTCTCGAGCGATGTCGCTGCCGATCCTCACCCCGTCCGCCGCACTCTCCGTCTGTCGTACCCGAACATCGTCTGGAGAAGTCGATCCTAGTGAGGAGTGCAGGAGAGGTCGAACGTGTTGTTCTGCCAGCGACAGCGCCAGCTTGGAGCCCGAAGCCGGGTTGACGACGATTTCGATTCGACGCGCCATGGTTCGTGATCGAAGCGCTCTGATGCGAGGTTGTGGTGAGTGCAGAACGGTGTCGATGATGACCCTGTCGAGAGCTGTGATGGCCGAGAGCGAGAGAGGCAGCGACGCAGGTGTGGTTACAGAGCTCAGCATTCAATGGCGTGATTCCAACAAGTGTGGCTGCTCCGTGGGAATTTCAAGGGTTCAAGGGTCCAACTTGACGTATCTGGCTCGTGCGTCTTCCTCACCTCAACTCGAACGCTAAACGATCAAGCAGACTGCATCGCGACTCAAAGACTATCGTTACATTGCCATACACTACAAAGCACACTCTCGCGCATCTCCCCACCCTCAACGCGCCGGCTCCGTCGTCGCAGCAGCCTCGACAAACTCGTGCGCCTCGTCCCGGCTGATACTCCTGATGCTGCTGACCTTGTTGGCGTCAAACAGCACACCGTAGTGCTTCTTGGCCACCTGCACCATCTCGGGTCGGAACGTCGTCGTGATGAACTGTGCGTTCTCGGCGAGCTCGCGGATCATGTTGGCCACCGCCGTGCGGTAGAGCGCGTCCAGGTTGGCGTCGATCTCGTCAAACAGGTAGAACGGCGCAGGGTCGCACTTCTGGATCGCAAACACGGTGGTCAGCGCCACGAGCGACTTCTGTCCTCCCGACAGCTGCTGGATGCGCAGGCCTTCGTCGTGCTTCGAGTTGAACGACACCTTGATCGAGACGCCCGTGTAGCTCTCCACCTGCCCAGCGTCGTCGTCGGACTCTTCAGCGGCTGCGCCGGCGGCAGCGGCGATGTCGGCGCGTCGCTGCATGATGAGCCTTCCTCTTCCGGCGGGGACGAGCTTCTCGAACACCTCCTCAAAGTACTTGCTGACCTGCTTGAACGTGCGCTCGATCGCCTCGTCCTTCCTCTGGTCCAGCACGTCGATGAGCTCTTGGATGCTTTCGGCGCTCTGCTCGAGCTCGCCCCTTCGCTCCAGCAGCTGGTCGCGCTGCTTGGTGAACGAGTTGTACTGCTCCACCGCCTTCTTGTTGACGTGCGAGAACTTTTTGAGACTCTCGTTGACCTTGTGCAGATTCTTGAGCAGCCGGTCCGAGTTGGTGTTGATGTACTTTTCAAACGCCTCCTCGGGCAACACGCCGAGATCGCGGATGTCCTGGTTGCAGCGGTCACGCTGCTCGAGCAGACGCGTACGCTTCGACAGGTATCGCTCGACGTTCTTCTGCTGACGCGCGATGCTGCGTGCATCCTCGGCCTGGTCCGCCTTGGTCTTGTCGTAGCTCGCCTGCGTATCCTGGATCGACTGCGTCAGACGGTCGAGCTCCTTCTCGATCGCCTTGATGCGCTTCTCGCGGTCAGCGATGCGTCGACGGAGCGCGTCGATCTCACGCTTGCGAGCCGAGATATCCTGGACGCCCGAAGCCGTCGCCGCGTCATCACCACCGAGCGACTCGCCGAGCGCCTCGAGCTGCGATCCGATCTCTTCCTGGCGTCGACGCAGGTTCTCGTTGAGATCAATCTCGAGGATCGAACGGCGGTTGGTGAGTTCCGACAAGGTGTTGGATTTATCGGCCAACTCGCGCTTCTGCTGGTCTTCCTGCGCGTGGAGCGTCTCGAGCTGTGCGGCCTCTTGCGGCGTGAGACCCTGCGACATGGGCGTGCGCAGCTCCTCTTCCAGTCCGGCTCGCTGCGTCTGGGCAGCTTTCAGCTCAAGGCCCTGGTCGGCTTCGCGTCGCTCGATGCTCTGCAGGCGCTGCGCCAGATCGTCTGCCTCGGAGCGCGCGCGCTGGAGCTGGTCCATGAGCGGCCCACGCGAGTTGCGGGCCTCGTCGCGTCGATGCTGCAGCGTGTACATCTCGCCCATCAGGCTG